ATTCTGGCAGAGAGTTCCAGAGGAGGGTCTGAAAATAGCCTGAACGCCTTCTCGGTTCTGACTCCTGAAACAACCTTGGCCATCACGCCCTTACTTTTAAAGAGGCTGAACTCAGATCCAATGCGTGAAGAATCCTGGTATGGGTTTCCAATGAATAAGATTTATTTTTATGCACCCCCCCATTGCCTGTGCCCTGGGGGTTTCACTTAGAGACCCCAGTTCTGGCCCAGCACAAGTGTGAGAGCTGTGTACACCGATTTGATTAAGTGTTCCCCGTAATGCATACAGACAGAGATAAATGCAACGAAATCACATTTTAATAAAATTATCTTACTGGGGGAAAAAACATTGAATGTTCCTCCATTTTCTAAAATAAACCTGGAGGAGTGGATCTTGCCCATCCCTAAGTTTCCCCTTACACTGGGGAGGCTCTAGCAGCCCCTTTCCAGAAATGAGATCTTGATCATTTGGGGGGGGTAGTGAATGGGCAGGCCAGCCCCACCCCACATTCACTAAAAGCCACATTTCAGCTTCAATCCACATTCAAGGCAACCGAAGCCTGGCTGGAGATCACGCGCACTGGGTGATGATGCAAAAAACTTTCCTTTCTGCCAAAAACCCCCCCACAAACCCACTACAGATTTCTTCTTTTAAAAAGCAGAATTTGGGAACTGAAGCTGAGGAGAATCAGCATTTGTTCCATTTGTTAACATCGTAGGAGGAAAGTCATATCAGTCTGTGGTATCGAAAAATCAGGAGTCTGATAGCCCCTTTTCGAACTAACACATTTTATTAACAATTTATGAAATGTTATTAATAAAGTTTTTTTAGTCATAAAAGGGGCTACCTGACTCCTAATTTTTGTTGTTGTTGCTTCCGTTTGTTAGCTAGAGGGAAATTTGTTTCAGGAAAATGACTATCCTGGAAAGGACAGGTAAAAATGTTTAAAACATTGCATAAAGTTAGTTTCTGTTTTGTTCGTGTGTGTTTAAGCCTAATATTTTGTCTCTGATATTCTCTGTTTCAGGCCAGTACTTATGTGTTTTATGCAACCTGGAACTTTTCTCAGCAGTTGCCTCTAAATTGGGAGTGGAACAGCATCATCTATTTTCCTTTATTTTCTTCTACAGCAGATCCTTTTAACTAACTGTGATTTGAACGGCAGGGTGCTTTTATCTCCATTTCCATTAAACGTTTTGCTTGTGACTACTTAAAGCCAAAGGGATTTTTACACCTCCCCTTTCCTTTTTTCAAAAAATAACATTTGATTTTATTTATCTCTTGTGAGTTTGCTCTATTTCCCAAAAATGGAAGTGGGAAGAAAGGGTTGGTTTCCCAAGCCACAGGTCTCAGGGCTATAGGGCCAGGAGGTGCTGCTACAGAATTTCTCTGTTGTCTTCTTTCAATCTGCTAGAAAGGAGACAGAGCGTGAAAACCCTTTCTCTTATGCACGTTGGGGTTACGAGTGGATACCAGGTGAGCCACTCCCTGCAAAATAGGTGGTGGCGGCAAGGATTACAACACCACACTCCAAGACAGGAGCTGGAGCTGGAGTGTACGCAGCAGTGTTTCTCAACCTGGCTGGGGAACTCTGGGAGTTGAAGTCCACACATCTTAAAGCTCCCAAGGTTGAGAAACCCTTGCATAGACGGCTTCTGGAAATATCTTTGAAGCCTCTAACCTTTCCTGCTGTGGACTCAGACTTGCTGTTACAAGGGTGCAAATTTAGAAATGTTCTATTGCATTTCTAGGTACATCTAAACTGAGATTTTGTCCTACTTGAATCACACTGAGGTTTCCTTTTAGAAATAAGCTGCTGAAATATCTAAAGGGCTAGCATGTAGAAGACAAAGCAGAATTGTTCTGCAAGGCTTTGGTTTCACATACTGTTCCTTATTCTGAGAACACCTTCAAAGAGAAAAATGGATCAGAAGCCACAGGGATGGATGGATGGATGGATGGATGGTTAAATCAATGGTTGATTCTCTTCTAAAAGGATTACATGGTTTACTTAAAGATAAGGGATTAGAAAATTATCTTTCTTCAGTTGACTAGGACGGCTAAGGAGTCCAACTGAAAAGTCAGAACAAAGAGGAGGTACACTGAAGAAAGTGTAAAAAAATATATATATCCAGATGCTGTTATGTTTCAGGCCAGCCTTCCCCAATATCCATCCAGATGTGCTGGAACTACACTACCCAGAAATTCTAGGACCATGTCAGTTACAAATTCTGGGATTTCTCCACACCCGGAATATACCAGGTTGCTGAAAGCTGTTCTGTTTTCTCCCAGATCTTTTCTAATCTTTCATCAAGGTTTACTAAAATTCTTTGTGAGCTCACCGAAGTGTGGAACGCTTTTGTATCTATGCGTGTGGTTGCAGCAAACCACCCCACTCTGTTCCATTGTTCTTTTTCTCATCTTTCTAGCCCCGAGGGTCACCATGGACTGATGGGTCATGGATGTGGCACTCGTAGCCTGAATTCAAGCCCAGCCGAGCTATTACTGCACTAGCAGAAGTAAATTTCCCTAGTTCTGTGGTTTGACTGCTGCCAATTCAAACATGCTAGATCCAAGAAAGCATCAAATTCAGCAAACAGAGCAAGCAATGAAGTGGACACAAAAAAGATCAGGTCATCCAGCTCTGTACATGCCACTCATAATTTCAGCTGAAGGGAAATGTTAGATGTAGGGATACACTGGGGGGTTAAAAAAAATGATTCCAACAATCAGCCAAGAACACAGTTAATGTGATGGGTGGACAAAGCGCAGCAACTTTAGTTTTGAAGCAAGATCAGGGAACCGATAACGATGGAGCTCCTATTTCTTAACTGCAGCCCAGCCTTCCCACAGTGCCCTCTTCAGCTCCGAACACCCACCCAGCAAGGCCAATGGCCGGGTCAACAGGCTGGGAGGAGCTGCTGGAGGGTTTAATTGGCATTTTCCTAATAAATTCTAAGCAGGGAAAAGCTCTAGGGTCCCTTGCAAATGGGCATGAGGTTGGTCACATCTGTGCCCACCATAGCCTTCATGGTTACACCCTTATTTGGCCCTTGTATCCTTTTCTGTTTCCACAAATAAACAGCGAGTCTCTAAAACAGTTCAACCGGCTCACTGTTAGATACAGCAGTTGCGTATGCACAACATACACATTGTTAGTTAAGTCAATAAGCAAGTGTCTTGTGTGAACTCAGACACTGAGATTCTTTCTACAGATACGTTTCAAGTGCGGTCTTTTAGGCCTAGATCATGGTGGCTTATTCAATCCATCATTAACAGTCATTTTGTCTGAACTAGGGTTTGTACTGCCACACCTATTCTGTAACAGGAGCCCAATTCCCTGGCCCTCTGTTCTGGTTGGCACAGCAAGTATGTGTGGCACTCTTGGCTGGATGCATGCCAAGCAGCTTCCCTCCCAGACTTTGGGCCATGCAGCAAATACACTCTGTGGTTCCTTCGCTGTGCTTCCCAGGGCTTGGTTGTCAACCGATGGCTTTATTAAAGCTATCCATCAGGGCTGTCCCTTGGCAAGGCAACCCGAGCAGTCTCATCAAGGCCTGAGCAATTCAGAGTGTAGGGTGCCCTCTGGAGGACCGTGCTGCACAACCAAAGCTTTCTACAACTCTTTTCCAGCCCCATTGCTTCTCCCAGGTTTCCCTAGAGCAGCATTTCTCAACCCTGGCAACTTTAAGACGTATGGACATCAACTCCATGCTGACCCAGAAATTCTGGGGGTTGAAGTCCACACATCTTAAAGTTGCCAAGGTTGAGAAACCCTGCTCCAGAGAATGCTTTCTCCTTGTGTCCCTCCCCCTCGTGCTGGCATGGCTGCTTCAGAAGATGCAGTTTGGCAAACAGGAAGTGCACTTGTGGCCCAAGCCCATTTAAGGGTAACATCAGCAACTCTTCCGTTTTTCTTCAGAAAAAGGTGTCCCCCCGCCCCCCACCAGGACAGGGAGGAGGAAGGCAAGTATAAAGGTTATGCCTATTAATAAAATCTGTTAGTCAAAAAATGTGCTACCAGAATCCTTCCCATTTTATGCCATTGTACACTAACAAGGCTCTCCTCGCATAAAACAAGTCAAGACCTTCAGAGTCACCAAAGAAAGATAATTAAAATCCTTCAGCTGAGTTGGACCAGAAGCTTGTAGAAGACCACAGATAGGGCAGAGCAATCCTGATGCTCTTTGTTTCTGCTCCCTGGACTTCTGCCAGTCTTAAGAATGCAGTTCCTATTTCTCAACCCTCTTCCTGTTCTCTCAGTACCTTCCAGTTATGTATATTTTCATCCTGTCACTGCAAAACCTTTGGTAAAAGTTTGCTGAAAATCCAGGGTCACAAGTTCCTGAAAATTATAAAGGAAATCTAAGAAAAGAGTAGCAAGGCTGTTTTTTTTTTTTGCAGAGACTACTTATATGCTGGATTCTAATAATTGAAGTACTTACTGTTTATGCAGGATCCTAGAAGAGCATTCAAGGCCCTTCACTTATTGGCAGAACTTGTGCAACATGTTTAAGCAGGTCAATTCTGCATTTCCAACACCCTCCCCCCCCAAGCTTGCTTAGTGGCTTTAGTATCATTGTTCTGTGACCCTCATAATGTCCTGGAAACAGACAAACTGCTCTCTCTTTCAGCATCAACTTCCCACCTTTTATCTGGACTCTGGGGACAACTGTGAGGTAAAGCCTCTTAATAGCAGACATGACATTCCAACCCAAGCTTTCTTGATTAATGGCTCAGTCCGTTAGTTGCCTTGACTGATCTTGAAAAAGTTAAGCAGCAAACTGTTTGGTACTGGAATGGAAGACCACCAGAATATTCCAGGAGTATAGGCTAAACTGGAAAAGTAGAACACACATGCCACAAACTATTTTTGAATGGTCACCAAGAAAACTAGACCAAATCTGCTTGTTTCTACTCAGAAACTCGTGGTTGGCCATTGAGAACAGAATGCTGGACAATTAAGGCTTTAGGCTCATAGTTTCTTATTATGTAGTTAATGAGATGCAAGCCCTGATAGTATTCTGAATGTTTTTTTTTTTAATGTTTGACAGAAAGCAATAATAATCAGTACTGTCAACAAGTCAAACAATTGAAATTCCTGTCCCAAGTAGGATCTCTGGAGCATCAATGCTTTCAGAGGTACATGAAGAGCCACGGCTACATCAGCCAAAGAGGGAGAATGCTCTTGGAACCGTCGTTCACTTCCTCAGGCACCACTTATGGAGGGAGACAGAATTACTGGAGATAAGCATCAAGCGTCTAGGCTAGCAACAACGCTTTCATAGGCCAAAACAGCCTTTTCAAGTACTGAAAAATAAATTCAGCCCTCCTGTTATTAATAAAAATATTGTTCTCCAACCTGTATTTTTTAACAAACCACCCCAGGATTTTCCCCATCATCTCTAGACACATTCAGCTGTACCTCTGCACGCTGGACAATCAAGATGAGATCGTCTCATCTTTAGGCTGAATCAAACAAGATAATCTCTTGACTACACAGGAAGGCAGATGCTTCTTACGCTAAAGCAAGAGAATACCACAAAGAACAGGGAGCCCTTCTCCTGTCCCAATGAAATTTCAGAAGCGGCAGGCACCTGCCTTTTCACAGAAATAGGTCGTAAGATTCTCGTAGCATCGAAGGAAGAGCCATCCGCTGAAAAAAGCAGGTAAACTTCGCGGCTACCCTCTCACCAGGGAGGTTAGCAGGCACAGATTCTCCGCATCCCCCCAACCTGGAAGGCCCTGCTCTTTTTTTACCATTATTGTTGCAAGCACTCAAACAAACCACCGGAGCATCTCGCTTCCTTCTTGAAGGAAGAAAAGAGCCACCTTGCCAGATGCTGATGATCAACCTGACCAAGATAGTTCTGAAATCACAGCCTCTCTTCTTCCATTTCCTTTAAATTAGCTCTTTCCACCAGGATTTCTGATTTCCCTCTCTCAACATGAAAACTGGCGGGCTTTCTTTGGCTCTGTAGATAAGTATTCACTCAGCTTGACTGAGGCTTATTTTTGGATTCCTCCCGAAAGACAGAGCGAGGGTGCTTTCCTGCGTGGCCTGCTCCTCTCCCTCCACCCTTCTTCCTTTTTGTTTGACTTTGGGACTCCAAATTTAGCGTTTCCAACCAGAAGGCATCAAAGGATCCAGGAGCCTGATAACCTGGCTCCTGAACATCTAGTGGATCTTTGCTCAGCAAAACACAAATGGCAGGGATGTTTCGCTTCACAGTCAAAGGATCAAGGCCGGCTTCTGGCACAATAGGTTCCCAGATCTCCTCTGTTTGCCGGAAGAACACTTTTGTGATCTGATGAAGGTCCTTGAGCCTCCGCTTCATGATCTCCACGCATGTGATAGTCTTGTTGATCGCTTTGCCAGCCCCGCTGAAGAGCATCTGTCTCATGGTCTCTTGCTCCATCTTGCCAATGGCATAGCCCATCAGATTCCGGATTTTGCTTCCATCCTTCACTTTCATTTCAATGATATCAGAGGGCAAGTTGGTAAAAGGAAGAGGAGAAGGCTTCTCCACTGTCTTGGACTTCTGGTAATTCTCCATGGTTTGCAATGCTGTAAGGAAGAAGGAGAGAAACAACACTTAATCCACAGGATCAGGATCAATATGCTATGATTACAGATGCAAATTCCCACAAAGTTGGGAATTTAGCCTGCTGAACAGATCAAGGTTTATCTGGTCCCTTGTTCTGTCTTCAATGGTGATAAAAGGAAAAAAGGGAAGGAGATAACGGTTCAATGAAACAACAATTACTGAAAACACACTGTTTATCAAAGTCAAGCCAGACCAGTGTTTGGACTCAATAGAAGGTGCCTTCATTGTATTAAAGCATCCATAACCCCTGCCCTCATTCACACCCTCATCAATAATGAGTAATGGGAAGCTTCAGTCACCAATATACAACCAATTCTGCTTATGTGCAGCAAGTGGTATTAAGCCTCAAAGCAGCCAAATTAACTGTGTGTTGTTTTACATCTAAACATTCCTCATTAATATCTCATGTTCAACAATCACTACTATGTGAATCTAGAAGAAAATGTTGTCAATTAAGCTGCCAGTTTTAATCAGGTTAGTCACCCAAACCCACTTCTGCTCATTTCCTTTGAAAGGCAGGGGCAACTTTTCAGATGCACTCGTAAATGTACTATTAGAGACAGCCTTGTAGTGCTTGGGGGGTCGGGGGGAGAGACACAGGGCAGTCTCAGAAGAACTTAGCCAGGTGTGGTGGTGAAGGGGCTGGCCCAGAAAGCAGGGGACTTCCAAGCCTCCCTCGGGCACAAAAGCTGGCTGGGCGACTTTGGGCCAGTCACACTCCCTCAGCCAAAAAACGACATCAACTTTCAGCCTCTGAATTGGTGGAAAGGCAAGACAATCCTGTGTTGCCAGAATTTAATTTGTTAAACTTTGAGTTGAAGTAATGTGCACGTGTATGTGTATACACACACACACAAACATATGTATGTGCGTCTGATCCATGTATCTGGATTGTAGCGAAATAATATTGTATTATTCAATTAATTGCATTACAATAATTATACTGTAATTAGTAATTAATATAATTATCGTAGGGAAATAATACGACCGCTTCTTAGGCTGTTACATTTTGTTTGAACGGCATTCCCAACTTCTGCATCGTACTGCCTCGGTGGTATTCATCGGAGACCCAGCCTGGTGGGCGACTCTGGGCCGGTCCCTCGCCCTCGCCCTCGCCCTCGCCCTCAGCCCAGCCCACCTCACAGGGCTGCTGTTGTGGGGAAAATGGGGGGAGGAGGAGGAGGCGGGAGCTTTAGGGACGTCTGCTGCCTTGAGCTAGCCGAACTATTCAAAAGGCAGGATGAAACGCTCACCACCACCACCACCACCGCCGCCGCCCCTCGAAAGGCAAGCAACGACGCCGGGAGGGAGGCGGGCGCAGGGTCGGCGTTTCTCAGCGGATGCCCAGGGGACTGGGGGGGGCACGACACCCCACAACGCCTCGGCCTCATCCAAGACGTACCGACAGGAGGGAATATACGCATACGCACGTATGTATGTGTATGCATGCACGCATGTATGACGTATCACCCGAGAGGGACGAGCGAGCCCTCCTTCCCCGCGGCATTTCCCAATTGCTGGCGCCCCGCCAGCCGCTGTCCGAGGCCCAGCCCTCTTCCCCCGGGGGAGGCAGGAAGGCAGAGGGGCCCGGGCCGCCCTCGCACAACCCGCCTCCCTGGAGCG